GTGTGTGTGTGTGAGTGTGTGTGTGTGTGAGTGAGTGTGTGAGTGAGTGTGTGTGTGTGTGTGTGTGTGTGAGTGTGTGTGTGTGTGCGTGTGTGTGAGTGTGTGTGTGTGAGAGTGTGTGAGTGTGTGTGTGTGAGTGAGTGTGTGTGAGTTTGTGTGTGTATGAGTGTGTGAGTGCGTGTGTGTGTGTGTGTGTGTGTGTGAGTGAGTGTGTGTGAGTTTGTGTGTGTATGAGTGTGTGTGAGTGCGTGTGTGTGAGTGTGTGTGTCTGCGTGTGCGTGCTGGTTGACGGATAATGTTGGCGTCCAAAAACTCCAGCAGCATCTGTCTTCTTCAGGAACGAACAGGGAGAGCTGGCACGAAGCTTCGTGCATTTCACACCAAACATTTGGCTTGATCTGCGACAGTTTGCGATGTGGATGTGACAAAGCTCCTCATGACTGGCATGTGTGAAAACCTCAGGCATGAGGCCTGTACTCTTTGGGATATATAATCCTGCGTTGGCAATGGAGTTTCTGTGCCCTTTGGACTTACCCTGCAGCATCTCGCAGGCCATTCTTAAATCCAGTCACCAGAGCATTACAAAGACAAAATCAAAGTGTTGAAAGAATTTGAAGTGGGTTATTCTTCCTGTGCAGACCCCTTTCTGTAACAGTGTCACCTTTGTTTGTCCAGGTGATTGAAAAACAGACCAAAACTGTGAGGGCAGAACCAGTGAATTACTCCAGTGTGGCCATTTGGTCCATCGTTTCTCCTCTCCAAATGTCTCTGTCCCATGTGTAATTCCACACACAGTTTCTGTGTAAAATGTGCAGTGCATTCCCCTTTTCTTTACATTGATAAAACCTTTAGTTCTCTCAGAACCGTGACTTGAAAGGAATTCGGGGATTTACATACACATATTAATCAATTAAAACCTTCAAACTGATTAAAGATTTAACAGCATCTTAGGTTTGTTTAATACATCCTCATCAGTGGTGTGACCCTTTCATCTTTCGCTTATAAATTCTGTTTCTGGTGCCAACTCTCTCACTAATGCCTGAAGAAGGAGCAAGGCTCCGAAAGCTAGTGTTTTCGAATAAACCTGTCGTGTGATTTCTGATCCCGGTCCACATCATTCAGACACAAAAGTAGAAGTTGCTGGAAGAGCTCCCAGCAGGTCTGGCAGCATCTGCGGAGAGAAATCAGAGTTAACGTTTCGGGTCCGGTGACCCTTCCTCAGTCTGTTCACACATCGTCAGAATTTTGATATCGCCTCATCTGACACACCAACGGCATGGGTTCGATCACCAGCTGAAGGGCTGAAGGACTCTCCTTCTCAGTTTCTCCTCTCTCGCCTGCAGCATGGTGACCCTTGGGTTGGAACACCACCAGCCATCTCTCTCTCTAGTGACAGTCACGGGGTCATAAAGCACAGAAACAAACCCTTCGGCCCAACCATGTTCCCAAATTCAACTAGTCCCACCTGCCTGCTCCTGGCCCCACATCCCTCCAAACCTTTCCTGTTCATGGACTTACCCAAATGTCTTTTAAACACTATAATTGTACCCACATTCACCCCTTCCTCTGGAAGTTCATCCCACACATGCTAATTTCATGAACCCACTCCTTGATATGCCCTGCTCCACCAGCAGAGGCGACGTCACACTGGGATATGGCCCAGACGGAGCTGGCCTGGGAGGCCTCAATACCATAGAGTCCCTATAGCGCAGAAAGAGGCCATTTGGCCCATCAAGTCTGCACCGAACCTCCAAAGATCACCCCTTCCTTACCCTATCCCTGTGACCCTTGCATTTCCCATGGCTTACCCACCTAAGCCTGCACATCCCTGAACGCTATAGGACAATTTAGCATGGCCAATCCACCATAACCTGCACATCCCTGGGCACTATGGGACAATTTAGCACGGCCAATCCACCCTAACCTGCACATCCCTGGGCACTATGGGTAATTTAGCATGGCCAATCCACCCTAACCTGCACATCTTTGGACTGTGGGAGGAAACCGGAGCACCCTGAGGAAACCCACGCAGACACAGGGAGAATGTGTAAACTCCACACAGACAGTCGCCCGAGGCTGGAATCGAACTCTGGCGCTGTGAGGCAGCAGTGCCAACTGCAGAGTTACCGTGGTATCTGTGATGGCATCAGAAGAAAGGGACGCCAGTTTAAGCCTGAAAAGAGGAACATTTTCTTCTCTGGGGGGGGGGTGTTTTTTCCCCAGGGGGGGGGTGGTGGGGGGGGGGGGGGGGAGGTGCAGAGTCCTCGCATATATTTCAGGATGAAATAGATAGATTCCCGATCAGTCAGCAAGTCAAGGGTTACGAGGAAAGGGGTAGCAGGATATGCCCTGAGTGGGGGACTGTGACATTCACAATACAACAGGGACCAACAACCGAAAAAAAAACAAAAACGACATTATGGACCTTAAATTGTTTCAGGAAGACAGGGGTCCATGGAGAATGCAATTCCTTGACAACCTTTAGCCCTAATGACACCAATCATCTACAAACCCCATCCATTCAATTTTTGCAAAATATCTTCTGGGCAAGTTTGAATCGTCTGCACAAGAATTAAATTTGGTTAAAACCCAAAAGAGCTGCGGATGCTGTAAATCAGGAACAGAAACAGAAGTTGCTGGAAAAGCTCAGCAGGTCTGGCAGCATCTGTGAAGGAGAAAAATCAGAGTTAACGTTTCGGGTCCGGTGACCCTTCCTCAGAACTGATGGTGGCTGGGAAAACGTCAGTTTATATGCAGAAAATAAGGAGGTGGACGGGGTAGGGAGTAAACGATAGGATAGAGCCCAAAGAGAGAGAAAGACAGTTGGACAAAGGATTTGCTAACAACCAGGCTGGGAGGGTGAGTAGTTATTAATGGGGACTGTTAGGACTAACAACAGGGGGTGTGCAGTGGCAGGCTATGTGGTAACAAGGCCTGGTGTGTGGGGTGGGGCATGGGACATGGGAGAGTTTAGGCCCTAAAATTATTGAACTCAATATTGAGTCCGGAGGGCTGTAGGGTCCCCAAGTGGAAAATGAGGTGTTGTTCCTCCAGCTTGCATTGGGCTTCACTGGAACATTGCAGCAAGCCGGAGACAGAGATATTGGCCAGGGAGCAAGGTGGTGTGTTAAAGTAGCAGGCAACAGGTAGTTCAGAGTCTTTTTTGCGAGCAGAATATAGATGTTCTGCGAAGCGGTCACCAAGTCTACGCTTTGTTTCCCCAATGTAGAGGAGACCACATTGTGAGCAGCGAATGCAGTAGACTCAATTCTGGGAAATGCAGGTGAAGTGTTGCTTCACCTGGAAGGTATGTTTGGGCCCTTGGATACTGGGGACGGAGGAGGTAAATGGGCAGGTGTTGCACCTTCGTCGGTTACAGAGGAAGATGCCGTAGGGCTATGGGGAGGTGTTGGGGGTGAAGGAAGTGTGGACCAGGGTGTCCTGGAGGGAACAGAATTAAATTTGGTCGACAGTCAGGATGCATCATAGATCTGTCGTAGGCACAAGTGAGCTCGAGTTGGGCTCCTTAGTAAGAAATCTCACAGACAAGGACAGGCGATTTTAAAACTTCACGCCAAAGTTCGCAGGTTAAACCTCACAAGCCAACCTTGGGCCATTCCCCAATTAATGGTGGAAGCGATCACCATTTCACCGACCACGTTCTGTCTAATGGATCACCAGACCATCATCTGCCGGTGGCTTTGGGCTGGGCACCAGGTCAGAGGTCACACGCGACACCAGGTTATGGACCGACAGGTTTGTTTGGAATCGCGAGCTTTCAGGGAACGCAATTCTTGGTTTTTAATTTTTCCTCTCTCTCTTCTTCAGCCTAACTCATTGTCCGTTCTCTCTCTCTCCGTCGCAGAATTTTACCGACTTCAATCTCTCCAGCTTTTTTACGGGGAACACCAGCTACGAGGTGCTGACAAATTCCAGTTACGATCCGTGCGAAAGCGCCACCATCTGCCTGAGCCAGCCGTGCAACCCAGGCCACAGCTTGGCCTTCAACCGGGTGTTCATCCCCACCTTCTACGTCGCCATCTTCCTGGTGGGCCTACTAGGCAATGGGCTGGTGATGATGGTCTTGGCCAGGAACGTGAAGCGTCTAGCGGTGACAGAGATTTACGTCCTTCACCTCGCTGCGGCTGACCTTCTGCTAGTGGGGGGGTTGCCATTTTGGGCGGTGGAAGCGGCCAGCGAGTGGGTTTTCGGGGACATGTTCTGCAAGGTCCTGGGGGCCCTGTACAACATCAGCTTCTACGGCAGCATCTACCTTCTCGGCTGCATCAGCTTTGACCGTTACCTCTCCATCGTCCACGCCGTCCAGCTTTACAAGAGGAGGAGGCCCTGGAGGGTCTATGTTAGTTGCTTGGCTGTGTGGTTCTTCTGCCTACTGCTAGCCATCCCAGACTTGCTGTTCTTGCACTCCATGGATGGCAACGGCACCCACAAGTGTGCCCACAATTACGGGGCAAGTGAGTCCAAGGGGTGGATCGTGGGCCTACGCTTCTTCTACCACATCACCGGCTTCCTCCTACCTCTGGGGGTCATGAGTTACAGCTATCTGAACATCGGCGTGACCCTCATGCAATCACACAATGCGCAGCGGCAAAAGGAGAGGCGCGCCATCAAGGTCATCGCCACCGTGGTCATCGTCTTCTTCCTGTGCTGGACCCCATACAACGTGATGATGTTCCTGGAGACCCTGCACCGGCTCGGCGCCATCGGCCGGGATTGCAACTTCGAGGAGCGGATGGACACCGGCTACTCCCTGACGGCCTGCCTGGGCAACCTACACTGCTGCCTCAACCCCTTCCTGTATGCCTTCGCAGGTGCCAAGTTCCGCATGAGGATGTACGAGTGTCTGGAGGACATAGGCTGCATTGCCAGGCGGAGGTGGGCCACCGTTACGACAAGCCGGCGGCAGCGGCACTCCATCATCACCATCTCGGAATCCGGAGACACTTCGTACTCTGGCTTCTGAGGGTCCAGCATTTTTTACGCAGACCCAGGAGTAGGGAACTATACCACTGTCCCACAAGAGGGCCCCCCTTCTCTCTTTTTCTTTCACCTACTTTTTACCATAATCAACTTGTTCAGTGATGTTATTGCCCACCTCTGGAGCAGTTGGG